TGAACACGACTGTGAGCTCTCCGTGAGCTCTGCCCATGGCTGGCAGGCCACATCCTGCACCTGCACCGGGTATGGGTCCCCTGGGCTCAGCCTGTGTGACCTGGATGTGAGTCTGCCTCTGATTTTCATAAAGCCTGGCTTTGCGCTGCGCCTCCATTTCACAAGGTACTAATGATCTCTATATGGATTATAAACAGGACTTCTGGCCAAACCGCCTCAACATTGATTAACTTCTCAGGATTAACTCAATTAGTCCATCCTGTTCATTTCCAGAATTGATTTGCTGGAAGGCTCTGGCAGTCAGGAGCTCTGCAGGCAGATCCAGGAGCCCGGGTCTGGGCCATGGAGCCGCCCTCCAGTCTCATCGGCTCGGGGTACGAGCCCGGATCCTGCTGCAAGAGAGGGGCTGTTCAGGAGGGCAGAGATGCCTGCACTCAGATGCACCCAGGCTGGAGCTCATGGTCCAGGACGTGGCAGTCCCTGCTGGGTATCAGACTCAGAAAACACCACCCGAATCCCATCAGCGAGCACATCCCGGTCGAGCCATTCAGCAACTAGGTGGGAAATGGAGGGACAGGAGGTTATGCGACTTGACTCAATGTCAGGCTTCATCTCGGGAGCTGGGAGGCAAAGTGCATCCGTCTCCCACCTCCCACGCGCCTCCTCTAACCCACCACACCGTCTGCCACGGCTGATGCAGCCAGAAACATCAAGGGATGTTCCCTCCGTGAGATGAAAAGGGCTGAAAATGAAACCAGATGGATGTGAAGAACTTTGCAAAGATGCTGGTAACCATGGCGACAAGCTGCTTTACCCCCCCCCCCCCCCACCCCCCGCCTTCCGCTGCCGCCCCCGGCAGAGAGCGAGATTTCTGCACTGGTTACATAAGGCCAGGCACAACAATGAGTCAGGCGCGGCGTGAACCTGCCATCGGCCTCTGTGTCCCGTGAGGCAGAGGACACGGCGCAGGCTTGGGAAGGTGGATGGCATCGCCCCAAGCTGATGCCCACATCCCGCTCCCCCCCAGAATCATGGCTGCCCCCAGGAAACTGCTCCCAGCAGAGAGGGGATGCTCAAGGGATGCTGGAGATTAATCCCGGGAAGATGATTTATTGCCCAGGTCCAGACCTCATCCCGGAGCACCCATGCGGGGTTCTCCGGCTTCACCCTCCCTGCTGCCACGATAAATAACCCAGCTGGGGAAAAACAACTTACTGACCTACTTCAGGCTGCAGTGCCTCAGATTTTATACAACTTGATGGCACCATGTCACAGCTGGAGAAAAACAGGACGAGATGCGATGTGGCAGGGTGGAGGGCAGAAAGCCCAATGGGGTGACGTGACAGGCAGCTGCATGGGGCTGACACAGAGCCCGTGGGGTGGTATATCAGGGCAGTGCTCATGCCGCATCTGCCCCAGGGATGCGACAGCGTGGCATGGGCACACTTATGGCCACGCCAGGACGGGCCAGCCAAGCTGGCTCTTCCCTTGCCATCCCCGCAGAGAAGAGGGTCTCCCCTGCCCCATACAGCCTCCTGGTTCCTGCCTCCCATGGTGGTCCCATCCCCGCTGGGTTGCTGGGGACAGCCAATGTCCCAAACGTCCAGGGTGCTGGGAATGACAAAAATCTCCTCCTCCTGTCCTGTGCCCGCTGGGGACACCTTGAATTATGGGCAGGAGCGTTTCTCCATGACAGCCCCCAGGGCAGCAGTGAGCCCACCTCTGCCGAGAGAAGTCCTGGTAAATATTTGGTCCCAATAAGCGAGCCAAGAGCATCGTTTACAGCAGGGGCAGCGCGAGCGGGATTCAGCGCCAGAGCCAATGGCCATGAACCTCCCCATAACCCAGCGAGTCCCATCACTGCTCAGCACCTCCATCCCCCTCCCTGCACAGAGCTCTGGACCCTCACAGGGAGTAGCAGGGACTTGATATCTGCTAATTCCTTGCAAATCCTCAAGAGGAGAGGTGCCAGAGAGGATCGTGAGATGTGCTGCAGCGAGAATCCGACCTGCCATAATAATTTGTTCAGCTCTAATCCCTTCCCTCCGGGGCTCACAAGTATTAATGAAGACACACGACACTCCTGAGAAATGGGCAAATATTATTATGCTCTTCCCAGCCTCCCCCGGTCATTCACTCTCTGCAAAGTGGAGAAACTGCAGCATCGAGAAACACATAAAGAGAATGTCTGTTTAAGCACTGATCTTCGATACACACAAGAAAATGTTTGTGCCACTTAGTCTCAGTCCTGCAAAGTGAACTTCCCTCTGGGGGAATGTGAAAAAGCCACTTCAGCTGGTGGCAAGCACCTGGATTTATTCTGCTACGCCTGGCTTCCCCATCCTGATACAATTATAGCAGCTTTATCAGGACAGTCAGGAGTAAGTAGGCAGGAAGGCTTTATCAGTCATACAAATAGAAAACCAAGGAGGCAGCCCTGAAATCCTCAGCACGGGCAGGGATGCAGCCTCCCAGGAGGGGGAGGACGGGTCCCTGTCCGCGGGCAGTGGGACTTCGCCGAGGGCCCCGCAGGACGCAGACAAATTGTATTCAGTCAAGAAACGGCATGGCAGGGAAAGCAGAGCGTCTGCAAGACATACGGCAGCCTGGAGCTGCGGCTGGCTGCCTGCCACACGTCTCTCTTTAGGAAGGAAGAAGACCTTGAGAAACAAAAGATTATGCAATGCATAGTGGAGTAACCTGTGCCTGACCTCCGCCACCGAAATCCCGCCTAACCCCCTCCGTTTCCCAAACCTCCTGGATTTCCAAGGGGATCGCCCCTGCTCCCACCGCATAGCCGCAGAAAAGCCGGTTGGATTCCTCCAGCAGCAAACGTCCTCCAGCAGCAAGCTGGAAGAAACCATTGCAAGGAGGCAGGAGAAAACCCTGCCCCCTCCACCGGGCAGCGATGCGTGCAGGTGCCCCCTCGATCTCCAACCGAAAATCCAAGCAGATTTGACACGCACATAGCAACAGCGGGTCTTCAGTCAGAGCCAGCAATCATTTACTGCAATTGCATCACAACAGAAGCCGTCCCTTAAGTTTTATTGCTGGGCAGCTTTTTATAACCCCATGCTCAAAGCATGCTCAATGTAACAGGGTTATTTAAGCGCAAGCAATGCCGTGCTGCTGCAAGGCTACCGTGTCTCCCCCTGCAACCCCATCTAATGCCTCTCAAATCCCTTCCCACCATCAGCTTCAAAAAACCACATCTTTTGGCCATTTTGCTCCCTGTGCAGAGCACCTTCCTCTCCTCTGCTTCAGCGCATGCCCTACATCACAGCTTGTGCTCCGAGTCCTCCGCACAAAGAGAGAGAGACCGAAGAGGATGCTCACCTCATTTATTGACAAGGATTGTCAGGAGTCGAGATTGCAAATGAAAGGCTTAAATCTTGCAGGAGGCAAAGGGGGAGAGGCAGAGATGCCCGAGGCGGCGGGAGCCTGTGCAGGATGCAGGGTGCCAGCGCTGGCAGGCTGCTCAGCTTTTCAGCTCCTCCGATTACATTTTTTCGCCTGTCTGGTGGGAAGGATGGAGCAATGCCTTCAGCTCAGCTCATCTGCTTTAGACCGAAATCTCTCCTTCCATCTTCTCCCCATGAGCAGCTTCATAACTGAGCTCGGGGGTTTGGGGGTGCTATTTGTCCTTGTAGTCTATAGCCATAGAAAGCCCCTTAAATCCCTCCTAAAGAGGAGGGCTCTCGACGTGACAGACAAGGAGACTTGCCAGTCAAAGCAAGACCCAGCGCAGCCCCGCAGCCCGCCCATGGGGAGCCTGCCAGGGGCTGGGGGAGCTGGAGGACTCGCCCTGGTTTTTTGCCCCTTCCAGTGGGATGAGTTACCGAATTCCTTTTTTACCTTTTACCGTTTTCTCACCATTCTGGTATTTGTGGCTTCCCAGAGGCCACGAGCGTGTCAGCGCCACGAGCGTGTTGGAGCTCAGCACGGGTGACCGTGCACCGAAAGCATGAACTCGTGGCCCCCAGGGACCGGGACAGGAGGACAAATACAAAATGGCGAATGTCTCTTGGGTTTATTTTCACAGCTGTGGGTTTGGGAGGGCTGGAGTCACATCCCCTCACCCTGCCGGACTGGCGGTACAGACTTTTGGTGGGAACACACCAAACCAGTGCAGAAAAAAACCCAGCACTGGTGCCTGCTCTTGGCAATACAGCTGGGCTTGCCTCCAGCAAAGCAATCTGAAGGATCTTTTCGATGATCAGAGTAGACGGTGAGGATGACTGAGATCCTGGGGGTTACTGGTGACTCACCCTCTGACCCCCTCAGCCAGTGGTCCTCCTCTTCCTCCTGCACCTCATTTCCCTGCTCTATAAAATGCAGATAATCACTTTCACCTACTCAGGATTGGGCAGAGGCTGAACCTTTCTGTAAGTGCCTTGGCACATCCTACATGCTGCTGCTCCTTATACATGTAAATACGTTAGAGGAGGAAGGTGATCAGAGTCCAATGTTGGTCCCAGCACTGGTGTAACCTCTGCCGGGCCCGTCACGGTGCCCGGCAGGGCTTCCAAAAATGGACACCTGTGCTCCACACTGCTTGTGGCGACAATTTTGGGGATAGCCAGAGCACACCCCTCATGGGTGAGGCAGCCGGGCAGGGAAGGAGGTGGCGGTGTGGGCCCCGTGTGGTGACAGGGCCCTGGGCCTTGCCTGGCCCTCCTGCCCCGGAGGGGCCCAAACGCCAGAGCCGACGCCAGCAGAACCGTCCTGGCAAGGAAGAAATTAGTCCTTAGAGGCGTTTTTTCGCTCTGTTGGTGGCTTGTGACAGGGACGAGCCCCGTCCCCATTGCAGGACGCCTCGGCGCTTCGCAAGCCCAGGCCGTACCCCGCGGCCGTTGCCATGGGAACAGCGCGGCGGGCCAGGCCCTCCCCAGGACTACAAGTCCCATCGGCCCTTGCGGCCCCTGTCCCACTCAGCGCGCATGCGCGTTTTTATCTAGCCGTGATTGGCCGGCGCGGAGGGAGCCAATAGGAGGCGGTGTTGTTGGGAGGACGGTGTTGTCAGGACGGGTTGAGGGCGATGGCGGCGCTGGGCCGCCTCTGGCCGCGGGCTGTTGGCGGCAGGTAGCGGCGGCCGCCGTCTGCCCGGGGAGGGCTGAGGGCGGGCGGGGTGTGGTGTTACCCCCCAACCCTGGGGAGTGGGGGGCGAGCGGGCCCTGGGCTGGGGGAGGGACGCGACAGGGTCAGCCCCCTCCCTCACGGCTGAAAAAAAGCCCTTTATTTTCCTGTCAGCAGCAGCACCCCACTCTCCTCACTTCTCTGTGTTTTTTTGTTTGTTTTTTTTTCCTTTTTCCTGAAGATTTTTCCTACTGCAGCAAGCTGCAGCCTGCCCTTTCCAGCTCCGAACAGCCTCGGTTCTCTCAAGTTCCCTGGAGCTGCCTCTTAGAAGCCATCTGTCCTTCAAGCCTGCACGCATCGGTGCCGGCCTGGCGTCTTCCTGGAACCACCAACAAATCCGCACAAAAGCGCGTGGGAACGAGTATCAGCCCAACAACCGCAAGCGCAAGCGAACCCACGGCTGGATCAAGCGCATCAGCACACCAGGCGGCATCGAGGTTATCCTCCGACGCATGCTGAAGGGCAGAAAGTCCCTGAGCCACTGAAAGCTCTGCCCGCAAGGTGGATGTAGTGCGAGGCGAGCCCAAATCGAGACCCCGTCGAGCTGCCACGGCTTCGGAATTGAGCCAGCGCGAGGGTCTGTGCCGAGCGGCGGCGACCGACCGTCCCTCTCCTGTCGGGAATGTGTGGGGAACGGCGCCGGCTTGAGGCTGGCCTCCGAGGGCTTTGTTTAATGGCCTGCTTTTTAAATCATAAAATTGTTGCCGCTTTGTAGATGTGATTCAAAGATAAACTTGTGAAAACACGAGCTGTAATTAAAGCCTCAGCAACTTGCCTTGAACTTCCGGCACTAATTGTTAATGCGATGCTTAACGGGGAGAGGAAAGCGGGCTTGTTCAGGGGGGTCGTGGCTGCTAGGGAGCCTTCAGAAGGATGGCATGAGCGTGGAATTGGGGCTGAGGGTGTAAGGAATTTGGGGTTTAGTTCGTGTTGGTGAGGCCAGCAGCGTCTCTGCCTGCTCCGCTCCCCCGTCCTCCCTGAGGTGCTTCAGGATCGGGGTCCTGGTTCTGGACTGGGGAGGGCGTGGAGGTTAGGAATTGCATTCTCCTGGCCCTTGTTCTCCCCGGGCTGTTAATTGCGGTTAATGAACAGCCCCTTCATTAACGCGGGCCAAGGGGAATAGAGGCACGGACTACATCTCCCATCGTACCCCGCGGCCGGCGCGACATCCGGGTCCTCCCGCCTTGCACCTCCCCTCCCCCCCCCCACACCCCCGGGGCCTTCCGAGCGGGCATTTCCTGCCTCAACCTAACCCTACGCTCCTCAGCGCCGCGCTGAGTGACGGGCGCGACGCCCAATAAGAGACGAGGGTGGCGAGGCGCGGGCCAATAGAGACGCGCGGGGCGGGCAGCGGAGGCAGTGGGTGGGTTGAGGCGCGGCGAGCGGCGGGGGAGGGGCGGCTCCTCACGGCTGGTGGCGGCGGCGAAGATGGTAGGTGTCTCGCGCCCCCCGCCCGAAATGGCGGCACCCCCGGCCCGGTGCTGTGAGGGGAGCGCGGC